TAGGCATTTGATGTGCGCTGAAGTGCCTCCGGTGAGACCCGATGTTCTCATTACCGAGTCCACTTATGGAATACACATACATGATAAACGCGAGGAACGTGAGGCACGATTTACTCGTCTGGTTCACGATATCGTCGGTCGTGGAGGACGTTGCCTGATCCCCGCATTCGCTCTTGGTCGAGCCCAAGAACTGATGCTTATTTTGGACGAATACTGGGCTGCGCATCCAGAGCTACACGACATCCCGATCTATTATGCTAGTCAATTGGCTCGCAAATGTATGGCTGTCTACCAAACGTATATTCATGCTATGAACGAACGTATTCGGAATCAGTTGGCCAATAGCAATCCTTTCTGCTTTCGTCATATTTCCAACTTGAAAGTGAGCTTGTGACCCATATTTTTACTGCATACCTTTTTATATATTGCATGCACTTATTGCGTGTTGAAGGGAACAGACAGTGTTCATTCAAAAATCCATGATAGGAGTTTGAGTGCCGTTCGGTTTGGTTTCGCATCGATCAGACTCTAGACTGAAGGCCTGTTTCAAACGGGTGATCTGAAATTACCTATCTGAATTATTCTTAAAAGCATTTAGGTAGAGAAGACGAGTAGAGACAGCGTGCCCAGTAATGCTCCCGGATACTTTCAACTTGAAACGACGATTCATTTAACACAATCCTGTCTACATGACACAAACCGATGCTCGGGGTTCTCCACTGAACCCTCTGTCCACACTCAACTGGCGCTGTTGTCTAGGACGCTGATGTATGGTTAAGGAATGCAACCAATCAGAGTAACAACAGATGCCATACAACCAATCACGCAGATGTTGCGTACGGAAATATCGTCCGAGACAACGTTTAAGAAAGCCTGGAGTGAACAACGCGGCAATCACAGCCAGGTGTATGACCTATAGTGGACGCTAAAGACGATCCAGGTATAACTCAACCACAGTACCTTCAACGCAGCTTAGTGTTCTCAACCACTGATCCAACCCAGCATTAACAGCTGGTTGACTGAAACCGACTTGGGAAAGCTAACCAACTGATTGGCATTTTGTTTTGCTGTACGGTTTAAAATCAGCTGTTCATACTGAATCGGTTTCGTAATTTGCGTTTGATCGATACACGTTTTTACGCCGACCGACTTCTGTCACGCTAGCTTCAGGGTACAATAATCACCAAAGTAGAATAAATTGCTGACACTTCCAACCCATGTCCCCATCATCGTATTTCATAAAGGCGAAGCACCTAGATGAGTTCACGACATTCGCTTCATTAGGCTTTGTAACGACCCCTATCGCGTTCATCTGACTAGATGTATGACGCGTCACTGACAATCGGCATGTGTCATTTACACATGGTCATGCCTGTAGAACATGCGATAGATCTCGATAGTAACCGGATTAATTTCGCTAACATACTGGGAGCTTTGACGTCAACCAGGACCAGCTTTATTTACCCGCCAACGATATTGTTTACCGTATGTCTAACTTTTTAAACCTCAACTGCTTGGGACGGAGATGGAATTCGGATATCATTATTCGGTGACGTTTAACAATATTGTTGTAGAATCAGATGCACTGAGTTTCTTACAAACATTTCTACGAGTTGATCAGTCAATGCCTAGCGTAAATGACTATTTGTTTGAGAGCTTGTAAAATGATACTCATAATTAGCATTGGGGACATGAAAATTCTCCACGGCTTCTCCCAAAGTTGCTCACTTCAAACCCAGTAGTATGTTGTAGAAAAGTCGCCCCCAAGGTGAAGTTTTGATCTTATGTATCATTATGTCGATTCCGACAGCTCAACTGTCGTCAATACAGTACATGGCAGTGGGGCGTGGATCCGACGCGAGGAAGTAACCGAAAAATCCGTGCGTGTCCTTCTACTAACTTGTTAAGTAAGCTCTTTGGGTTTCGGTTTCACGTTTTTTCCCTTTGCGTGTTGATTGTCGTTCCGCCATTCGGTATTAGCCTTTAGCCACATGCCCCCAATGAGACCCAAAGAAGGTGGACGAGATAGCACCTCAGTAACTAGAAGCTTCCCAGCTTGAACGGGCGGCAACTGTTCAACGAAGTAAGCGAACCTTTTTGTCTCTCGGAAGGAAGCCTCAAGTAACCCATTTCTATTTGCTACTGTGACCTCCAGGAGTGAAAGTGGTCACTACGATCACTAGTAGCCTTCTCCCAGCTACGTAAGCAAGAACACAGATAGTGCACAGCGAACGTGTACTTGACACACAGGAAGCAGGTCAAATTTACAGTGGAAAATCGGCTGCTTATGTGCTGTTCTGGTCTCTGGACACAGACTTCGAGAATTAATGCAAAAAATTAGGAAATGTACAGAATGGACCAATCAGCGGTCGCCAGCTGGATGTGGACGATTATCACCAAGAAGAAGAGCCAAAAAAGTTTGTATTATCAAAAAAATTATTTGTAAAATACTCAAAAACGGGCAGTTTTAGGTAAAAGTAATCTTTTTACCTAACAACGGAGTCCATTATCCAGTCAGCCGGTGACCAGAGCCAGAAAGCCGTGCGTGTGATTCGCGCTCCTCGTTTTTTTGGCTTGAAACCAAGGATTTTAACCGGCTCGCCTCGGCAAGTAGTAGTAGCTCGACGATTCAGTTACAACCCCGGCTTATGTCCCCAATTTGGTGGATTAACCTCCGCCATGTGAAGCCAGTGAGTACGGTTTCCTCAGTAAAGGCTATTTGAAACGCTTGACCGTATGGGAACATTTGGTGAGGTGTAAACAAAAGTGATCAGCCACAGCATAAGACCATTTTCAGGGGTTTAGCGAGTGATTCTAAGTCTTCTATGTGATGACTCACTTATTGACTCTACATGATGAATACACCTTCAATAGAAAAAATAATAATTGGCCTCACGGTTCAACCACTTCCAAGGAATTAAGACAAGCCACGTGAACTGAAGGTGATAGACCCGTACGGTTTTTATCTTTTATTTAAAGTTCTCTTATTAAACACAATTAACCAATTTTAGGGAAGGGAGAAGCGGCCCATCAGAGGGCTCCCAAACAACATGCAAAGAGTAAGAAAATTAGTCCGTGGTGGTGGTGAGATTTTAACACGTCCTCCGGAGCGCTAATTCGGTCACCTGTACCACTTACCCACCTCCGCCCTCTATATGGCTTTGATTTTGTCCCAGTATAGTGAAACTAACCATGTATGTTTTCATGCAGCCCATTGCCATACATTCACGTTACTGCCCGGTTTAAATTCAATCTGTGGTTTCCTCTTTTGGGTGTATCTGGGAGAGATTATACATTGATGAAACTCAGGAAAACTCGGTTGGTTATCAAAATCTGAAATTTATTGTACCTGGAGTAAATTTATGTCTACTTTTTGTTGCATTTCTTTTTCAGAGTATCGAGCACTTCGATGATTCTGGTCCGTGTGTGGTGATGGCCAGTCCAGGTATGATGCAACCCGGTCTCAGTCGTGAACTTTTCGAGAATTGGTGCACCGATAAACGGAACGGAGTGATTATTGCGGGATATTGTGTGGAGGGCACTTTGGCCAAGCAAATTCTCTCACTCCCTGCCGAGATTCCCACCATGTCGGGGCAGACATTGCCGTTGAAGTGTTCCGTGGATTATATCAGCTTCTCGGCCCACACGGATTACCAGCAGACAAGTGCGTTCATACGTGAACTAAAACCGAGCTATGTGGTACGTTCTACTCGCGTCATCAACCTTTCATTCTCTTTGGCTACCACTGAGATCCACTTGTTTACCTAAAGCCTATTTCTATCATACCACAGGTTCAAATTTTCTTGTGTCAAATGTGTCCCTGTGGGTTGGGAACTAGTGAGTATGAAAATTGACAAAACGTTTTCACTGACTGATTTGCAAATACGACTGCAAAATACAGACGAGACGGTACCTCTGTTAAACGAAAAATAAACGGCTACAAACATGACGGGGTAACGCTTGTTGCCACGGTCTTGTGGTCGGTTTTATTGCTCGATCACCCAAGTTATTAGAGGAGTTCGACTTGCGCCACCCCATTCCGAGCCTTCCACGGAATAGTCTAGTCTTCCAGGCAATGAGTCAGAGTCAAAGTTTTATCATGAGAATTACTAGTGGTTGCTTTTCTTCTCCAGTAGGGTTTCCCATAGCTGTATCGATTCACCGATCAAAGAGAGATGTGGGATGTCTCAAATTTCCATCGTTTCGTGTTCTGCTGCGGACATTGAAATTTAAGACTTGACAATGGTTCGTCCAATCTGCGCTTGAAGGAATCACTTGTGCTCGCAGAAACAACGTGAGGTAGTGGGAAATTCCAAATACTACACTCTAAGGGTAAATGAATGACTCATTGTAGTTGGCGTTTCAAGTCTGTGATCGATTGGGATATGCTGTCTTGTCGGTCGAGGCTCCTACTTCCATAGTGCCTAGTCGAACCGGTGAACTTTTATTAATCACGGGTGGACTGGAATAGTGGTTTGTCAATTCATCTAGAGGATTTAACTGCCGGTGGCTTGTCAATCTGGTTGTAGTTCTAGAGACGGGTGTCTTGTACTCTTGATTCAGTGAGATTACTCCCACCATGAGATGACCTTGAGTAAGACTTCCGCAACTGCGATCCAATGGAGTCTCATGATTTCGCACTCTAAACCTTCAACAATCGAAAGACTTTCTACACCGTACTCACCCTTTTGTTCTCCCAGCCTCCCCCACCTCACCTCTATCTTCCCAAATCATCTCTCTCGGGTACTTCAGACGATCGTATTAACAGTAGCTCCTCCGGCGAAAATTCTACCGCTAATTGCTCTTGTTCTTCCTCAACTGCTGTCCAAATCTCACCGAATGCTCCGCCAGCTGAAGCCCCTCCGCTCTCGACGTCCTTTCAAACTAGCTACATTTAACGTGCTTACTCTGATGCGTATAAGACAAAAGGCGTGTTTAGCTCGTACAATCGAAACCCTAACCATCGATGTGTGTTGCACCCAAGAAACTCGCATTCAAGGCTCCAGGTCCATTATCCGATTGACGTCCCCATCTAACCAATTTGTGAAGTTTCACTTACGCCTCTCTGGGGACCCTGAGGCTGTGGCTTTCGGTCTTGCTGGCGTCGGCGTAGCTCTCAGTGAAAGCTGAGGCTGACCCCTGGATTGGATCCCAGTCTACAGCAGGTTGTGCGCAGTAAAACTCAGAGGTTCGTGCAAGGTAAGCACCCGTCGCCACGATAGACGAAACTTGTTTGTCGTATCGGCGTACGCTCCAACAGACTGCAGCCCAGATGCAGCTAAAGATGAATTTTACCACAATCTACACGACCTCTTGCGTAAAGCGACCCAGGTTGCTATCGTGATTTTAGCAGCAGATATAAATGCTAGAGTAGGCCGGGTGACTTCGAGTGAGAGGCACCTGGGAGGTCTTGTCGGACTAGATGCTTGTCGCGCGGAAAACGGGGAGAGGCTTTTGGATTTGTGTTCCGACCACCGACTGTTTCTTACCAGTACGAACTTCAGACGCTCCAACTGCCGTTACGGTACTTGGCGGCCGCTCTACTCGAGTCGGAGATGGTCG